CCTAAATTACTTAAAACTTTACCAATTGTCTTCGAAGCTTTAAAAAATTTAAATTCACATGAGCATTAAATTCTAAAATTGTATTCCAATAATTTACAATAATAACAATAAAATAATTAATATAACTTTATTTTGCAGTGTCCTTTATTGCGATTCGACAGAGTGGCAATCCTGCGTATGAACTACGTACATCATCACAAAGGTTTTCAGTTGGGATTCGAGCTCGGGCATACCAGCCTAGATGTATTTGTTTATGGCAAAGCACACGATGACTATCTGTCCAAAGAGAAGGACGCCTTCGTGGAGGGCTTGTAGAGACATTAGGTTTTTTTTATGCTGGAGAAGTAAAAAATGTGCAATGCCCTCTTCGGAACTCGAATACACGTTAAGTGTGCTGGCCATTACATCACGAAGGCATGCTAAGAAAGCCGGAGAAATACCTTATATACCCCCTTTTAAAGGGCGACTGGGATAAGGGGATCCAATCGCCAAATCCAAGTAGTAGATAATCACCATGCACCCTTTTTTTTAGTCCGGGCGCCACTGTAGAGACATTATTTTTTTTATTCTGAAGAAGTGAATAATGTGCGGTGCCCTCGCTGGGACTTAAACCTCTCGAATACGTGCCGAGCTGGACATTACACCACAAACACATGCTAAGAAGGAGGGGAATACCTTACAGGTTTTCTAAGAGAAAACTGCCTCCTATACACGTTACACATGGGGAAAGCCAGAAAAACGCCCATGTTGCCAGCCTGTTTCCGAGGATTGGAAACCCCGGATCGAACTACCAGTGTTCAGCCACTTTACCGCTCGGCTGCTGGTGAGTCCAGAGTTAAGCCGGACGTCCCGAACTGTCCAGAACAATCTCGTACCTCAGTGTAATGTCTCTGTTACAAAATATGTTCCAGGAACTGCCTGGTACACGTATGCATTTCGTACACATATGAATTTTGCCACTGGCGTTTCATACAGTCACGAAGATATTGGGGGGGGGCAGAGATATATTTAATAACCAAATAATCATGTTTTTTAAATAAAATATACGGTTTTAGGAAAACTGTACGGTTAACTAAACAACTGATTTGTGAAATAATTTCTGAATTTTTGGTCTTACTGCTCTTCATACTGTGAACAATGGTCCAACCTGTGCATGCGTAGAACCTTGCAAAAGAAAACATGTTAACGAAAAATAATTATACGGTAATAAATTATTCATAGAAAGTTAATAGTAGGTAAAAATTATTCATAGAAAGTTAATAGTAGGTAAAAATTATTCATAGAAAGTTAATAGTAGGTAAAAATTATTCATAGAAAGTTAATAGTAGGTAAAAATTATTGATAGAAAGTTAATAGTAGGTAAAAATTATTCATAGAAAGTTAATAGCAGGTAAAAAATATTCAGAAAGTTATCAGATTACCGAAAAGTTAAGTAGCTGCCCTTGTGTAAAGTTTAAATTGAGGGAATTGATTTTCAAATGATTGAAAAACATAATTTGAAAAAACATAATTGCAACAAATATTTTTTTCAAATGAGTAATATTAATAACAGAACTCTGCGTATTAGGAATAATTGCAGCAACATGAACTATATTTGAATAACAAATGCAGTCATGCAGTTATTAAGTACGGCAAAGCTCATAAGGACTATTTGCGTAAGGTAAGCTATGTCTTTGAGGAGGACTTGCTAAGGGTTTGGTTTGGTTTGGTTTTATTAGATTATGGCAAAGCACTCGAGGGCTATCTGCCTTAAGGGAGGGATGCCTTCGTGGAGGACTTTCTAAGGGAAACTGGCTCGTATACACGTTACACATGGGGAAAACCACGAAAACGCCCATGCAGCCAGCCCGTTCGCGGGATTCGAACCTCGGACCGAACTACCAGTGTTCAGCGATGTTACCGCTCGGCCGCTGGTGGGCGACTTTCTAAGGGAACGGGCTCGTATTCACGTTATACATAGGGAAATAAATGGAAATCAATCATGCAACTAGCCTCTTTTCCTGTGTTCGAACCGCAATCATTTAGTCAAAATTATGTTTCATCCAGGGTCACAATGTATTTCCATTTATCTCCTGCTACATAATTTTCATACACAGTTCTATAAGTTGTTTTGGGTCCAGACACATGCCTCGGCAAAATCTGGTGAACATTTTGTATTTTAGCTTTTTAAATTTGTATACCTTGGTTCATATTTAACTTACTGTTCAATTTTACTTACTGTTGCTAAAAATGTATTTAAAGACTTTGGAACTGATTTCCCTGTCGGTGGATTTTCTCTTGTAACCAATGATCTAACTTTAGAAACATTAAAAACAATACGTACCTTTTTCGGGTATTGGTTTGGAATCTTCTTTCCAGGTAGAAGACATGATTGACGGTGTTTTCACTTTAATAACGTTTTTTAAATAATTTTGCTTATTTTGCTCTAAAAAATTTTAATACCATGCATTTCACAATGACTTTTCAGTTATAAAATAAAAATATTTTACTTCGGAAAGCGCAAAAACATGTCTTTCATCTACAGCTTGTTTACATGCGACATCTTGAAAAAAAGATAAATATAAAAGCAGCAGGTGATTTAAAAATATTTCCTTTTTTAAAAAAAATTTCGTTATGTGTAAACACCCTCTGTACTGTCCTAATCATTATCCGACACAGCGAAGTCAAGAAACCAAAACTTACTTGATAGCTCTAATATTTTTAAGAAATATAATTGTTTAGGTATGATAGTGATTATGACAATATGTATAGCAATTACTCACCTTACAGTTACTGTTTCTCATATTTGTGCCGCACATCGCAGAGTTATTTAAAGAAACTCATATATTTGAAAAATTAAAATTGCAAAGAATATGAACTAATTCCCATTTTCACAGGCGTAAAGTTTTTTACAAACCACTATGATTATATATAAAAAAAAAAAAAAACTCAGTTTTTAGTAACAAAAAAAGCTAAATTAAAAGCACAATGTTTATTAATTAAGTAAATTTAATTCATCATTCTATCGGTGTAAAAAGCAATAATAAAAACTCAAGTGTGTGGTCCACAGTAGCAATTCTGAGGCAGGTTTCTAAACAGAAATACGAAGTTCAGTAGGTACTGAAATAATAGAGTTTAATTACATGTTCTAAACTTAATAAAATAGTTTAAAATTTTTTAGAATTATAAATTTTCAAATTTACTCGAATTTCCTTCAATTTTTATAATTAATTGTTCACTTTCTGCACATTTGTAAAAGAATTTAGCAAAAATAAAAATTACATGGTAGTTAATTCATAAAAATGTTTACATATGCATGCAGAATATTCAACATCAAGGTATTAGACCGAAAGATGTATACCTAATGGAAATACTAATATAAAAAGAGGTTAATTCTATGAGGTATTTTCTCCCTCCTTTCCGCATGCCTTCGTGGTGTAACGATACCACACTTGAAACGTATTCAATAGGTCCAGGTTCGAGTCCTGGCGAGGGCACTGCACATTTTGCACATCACCTGCTTCAAAAAAATCTTAGTGCATCTACGCGTTACAAGGTATTAAAACATAAAATAAAATTATGTTAATTAATTTAATTTAATTTAATTCGGTGTACGTATACATAACGTACGTATACATAACGTTCGTATACATAACGTACGTATACATAACGTTCAAAAGACGTATACATAACGGGAACACTAATATATATATATATATATATGTAAGATATAACAAAATGCGATGGCTGCGTTAAGAAACAATTGGTGATCTGAAATTTAACTATTCTAGATTTTATGCTTCCCCCCCCTAAATTCATCTGTTCTCCCAAACTACATAACGCTGCTTGAAAAATGGAATTAAAACCTAAAATTAACCAATCACATCTTAGCTAACACTTATATGCGTCTACTTAGTATAAATAACGCTTCGCAAACAACTACGTCATTCTTTTTCTTAACTTCTAGCCAGTTAACATCTCCGCGCTGCTTATGCTTTCCTGTCTAAGATGCTTACGTCGTACTTTTAGAGCCAGTGTACATAAAAATTAGCATATTTAAATATAATTGGATAAATGTTTACCAAAATAATTCGATATGTGTGAAAATAAAGATTGGTGATGCGTCAAAATCCAGTTTTTGCTAGCTTCGTCTGCATGCCTGTTTAAAAAAGGATTAATTCTATATATCATAAGGCATTAAAACATAAAATAAAAAATACTATTTCTTAATTTAATGAATTAATTTTAGTTTAAAAATTTAAAATAAATTCTTCAATATTTTAAATATTAATAGGTATGCTATTACATAAAAACATTAGCCTGTTTTGGAGAAATTCCACTTCACAAAAGGGCAACCGTCTCTTTGAAATTCAGGGCTATCTACGCTCGTGTGTTTCCAGCCAACCAGACAGAACAGTATTTCTCAATCTCTGATCCACGGATCAAGTAATCCTTCAAGCCTGCTCTTACGGTCCTCATAGATATCAAAAAAAAAAAAAAAAAAAAAAAAAAAAAAAAAAAATACAAAAATAAAATTCTGATTAACCAAGTACACCATATGATAAATTAAAATCTCACAGTTTTGAAATTAAACAAGGAAATTATGAATAATTTTTTTCTTCGTAAGACTGACATCTGATGAAATATATTTCCGTTTATCCTGCCTACGGACTTCCATTTCAGTTTCAGATACAAAAGAGGGATTTAAAGCACTATAAGTGCTTCTTATTGGCATACATGTAAGCATAGAATAGCTATGCAAGAACTGGCAGGTTTATACATTTAATTTATGTCAATATCAACATTTATTTAATTCAGTTAAAAAACTAAATACTATCCTAACAGCCTTGATTTTTTGAATTAATTTAATTAAATTTAATTCGAAAGTATTAGATCAAGGAATTTATTTATAATGGAAATATTAATACATATATTTAGAAAATGATTAATTCTATTGAAGATGATTCCAAGAGATAGAGATGATGACAGAGAAAATGATTTTAAGGCGTTAAAACCTAAAATAAAAAACTTTTAATACATTTAATTTGCATACAATAAATACTATCCCATCAGCCTTCAATTATAAAAAACGAATATTCATACCAATATCTAACTTGATGAATTTTAATTAATTTTATTTTTAAAATATAAGTTTACTAGTAATAACTTATACCGAAAATGTTGTTTTCGAACGGGACACATGTTATGTAGTTAAAGCACTCTTAACTTATAAGAAACGTTTCGTACTGAAAAACCCGAAATCAACTTTTCATCTCTTTAAACAACATCTATATCAGAGAATTACACACAAATTTATTAAAAATTACTAATATATGAAAGAAATGCTTTGAATAAGTTTTGTAAAGGGAAAGACAGTTACACCTAGAAATAAAGTAATAAACACAAAATTTATTCTTCACTTCGAAGTATTTTATAAAGAACTAAATTGTTTTAAAGTGAAATATTCTCTAAATTAAGAAGAAAAATTAGATTATTAATTATTAATTAAGCCAAGATCGTGCAGAGACAAAATATTCTTAATCTGGTCGTAGAATAATAATACAGTAGGAGATGTAAAGTTCGTATAATTCTGAATTTTAATAATATAAGTAAAATGAAATACTTTATTCAAAAACCATGATAAACAAAATTTACAAAATGATTACTAACTATTCATTATGTTTCTTGTCACCTTAATCAAAATCAGGAATCATGAACAAAATTACAAAATGATTACTAACTACTCATTACGTTTCTTGTGACTTAATAAAAAATAAGGAATCATGAACAAAATTACAAAATAACTAACTACTCATTATGTTTCTTAATAAAAAATAAGGTATCATGAACAAAATTACAAAATTTTTAGTAACTTTTTACCATGGCTTTAGTTACTTACCAAAGGGCATGTTAAAAATTTTAAATATGAATTCAAGATCGGAAATTTATCACTCAAGTCAAGTTGCACGTTTCAGATTTTTTTTCGAAATCTGAAACGTGCAACTTGACTTGAGTGATATTTTGAGTTGTATATAAATAAATCATTTTGCTGTAAGTTTTTTCTGAACTACCATATCTTGCAAAAATTTCATATAGAAATTCTCTTTCGCTTTATTTTTCCATTCATCAGTAGAGAAAATTTCCTCTGCATGTGCAAATGAAAACTCAAACACACTTTTGTATAAATCATCATCAGAATGCAAACTGGCTAACTGCAGAATTCTGCACACATTTGCAACGCTCAGATTAGAGATCAGAAAACATGAACACTTTTTCTTCAGAGCAGGGACATTGTATTTGTCGGCTGCCACGTAAAGTTGCTCAGCCGTTTCGTCAGACGATTTTTCGAGATTTCCGGTGTACATAAACAGAAGGAATTCGTCCATTACCTGCGGATCAATATCCGAAATCTCGACGTCATTTCTTTCCGATTCGATCATGTCAGTTTCGAACATTCTGGAAAACACCGAAGATCGGCCGCATAAAACACATTTATGTGCGCGTAGTGTTTCGGAACCAACGATAATATTGATATCCGATAACATACCAGTTTTGTAAAGATTTCTGAAATCATTGTTAATTGAATGGCAGTTAATAGAAGATACGTAGGCATAAGTAGATTCCATTATTTCAGAAACATTGTTGCAGTCAGAAAACTTAAATTCGAATTTAAGTTGCAATACATCATCAGGATCCACAGGATTCTTTCGTGAAAAATCGGCACATTTCCAGTTTTTCTCCGTTTCGAACAAGTGCTCATTTTCTGAAGAATTAATCCCATCGAAGGATACTTTGCTTCTCACAAAGATAGGCTTGGTTTCAGGATCGTACATTTTGCAGAGGGAAATATCAAACATTCTACCATGCAGTGCATCTTCACGTATGTGAAGCCTCAAGTTCCATTTACAAGACTTCAAAATATTCACACTGAATAGGTGGCAATGTATCCTTGTATTCATTGGCAAGCTTGAGAAATTCTTTATTGGCCACTCAAATGATATTTTCCGTACATTAATACGAGTTCGCGCCTTCTGTGCGACAACAGGTAAACACTGCAAATCAAGGAGTTCATATTTCTCACATGCAGCATACAGTTCCGCTAATAAATCAGATTCAATGCAGTCTAGTTTTCCGGTGTAAACATATCTGAGTATGGCCTCCAGCACGTCCGATCTCATATCGAAAACTTGTTCACAAGTCCCTTCTGTGTCTAGTTTTTCTACAAGTTTGGGCCATCTCGCCCACAAAATGGATTTATGTACTTTGAATTCCGCACCATTTGCGTGTAACACGACATCTGCAAACAGTCCATTTTTGTAAGGAAGTGGCGGCAGTATTTCTTGATCACTTGATTCAGACACGGTGCTCATCGTCAGTTTTATAATTAGAACATCATTTATGAGTGACTTAAAAAGAAAATCCTTTTTACAGCACGTGGGATATCCCCACGCAAACTCACCTTTAAATACACGGGTACAACCTTTTGGACCGAAAACTGACTTTTCACTGCTATCCAGTCCTTGCACTGTAAAATTTATGTTACACAATTCTGAAATATCATCCATTCTTTTGAGATAGACAGCTGTGTAGCTTTGATCAAGATCCCCTTCGGGAAATATCCTAATGTGCCACTTCATATGGGGTAAACAATTCAAAGCAAACTCTGGGCTACATAGAAATCTTATCTTAGGCTGATGAAACATGCTAAAATTTTCAATAATCCAAATGAATGTGAATCTATTTTCCGCTTGCTCTTCCATCATGTAAAGAAGGTTTTGAGCTCTTTGACACGTTATCCGTTAGGGCGTAATTGCGCGTGTCAATTCGATCATTTGACCTTGGACGAGCATTGAGAGGATAAAAGACAGAAACATCCTATACGTCACTTCCTCAAAATGTCGCCACTGTTACTTCTCTGCATTGTAACAACAGCGGGCGCGGCAGGAGCACTTATCAGCCGTTGTTTAATGCGATCACGTTTTGCACGACTATTTTGATAGCATTAAACGATGAGAAAAAAACATCTTCAAAATAGCAATGGAATTTGACTCACCAAGAAATATCAATAAACACATAAATAGGTATTTTCGTAGCATTTTAATTAGAAAAATGCAAAAGTTTGTTTATGGAACTGTTCATAAATTCATTTATTAACTCTTCATACTGTTTCTGGAAATTATTTGACGGATGCTGCTGTCTTAATATTCGTAAGGCATCCCTCATTGCAGGAGAATATCCCAGTAAAAATTTTAATTTAAGGAAAAAGGGCAACCTTAGTTTTTTGTATATCTTTTCAGAGAATTTCAAGGGCAAAGAAAATAATCTGCAGAATTTTTTATTTTTTGGGCTTTGTTTAGGAAGAAGAAATGTCTGATCACCCTCAAAATCTATAAAGTTATTGATGAAAAGCTACATCAAACTAAGGTTGACGAACCAGAAGCCGACCGGTAGAGTCGCTGAATACAGGTAGTTCGACCTGGAGCCAACTCGACCAAACGGACTGGTTATATAGGCGGTTTCATGTGTAACGTGAATATGAGCCAGTTTTCCTTAGACTGTCCTCCACAAGAATATTCTTCCCCTTAACTAAATAGCCCTCGTGTGCTTTACCATAATCCAATAAACCGAACTAAGGTTGCTTTTTTGCCCAATTTAAAATCGTTGACTGAAATTGAAAGAAAACTATTTTGATATTTAACCCCTCACTGGGCGATATAGTTTATTTTGACCTTAGAAAATTGATGGCGAATATATTTATTTAGCACCATTTCTATGTAACTTGGCAAATTTTAAAATCTCTTTTGAGCTTATTTACTGAATTTTTCTTTTATTTGGCGACTCTAGCTAAACAAAAAATACTTATTCTATTATAGTTTGATCATATTAACCGAACTGTTTTTCACAATAAGCGATTTATTTAACATGTTTTCATATGTAAACGGGCAGGACTTCGGCAAATCGATAAGAATATACGAATGATAACACTAACCGGAATCACGTTAAGTAAGGTCTACTGTAATTCATAAAAGTAAGACTGAAATCAAGTTGAAACTCAAGTCAACTTTCTATTAATCGATTAACAAGGCCTCGTCTAACAATATAAAGATAAAATTGTTTATAGAGGAATACTATGGAAAAATTACTGTTACAAATCGTTAGCGCAAAACGAGTCTGTCTATGAAAAATATATGAAGAAAACTAAAGGAGGTAACAGAAGTGATGCATAAATATATTGTCATAATTAAAGAAAGGAGAACAAATTAAAAAATACCTTTGTGGTCAAGAATTTTGCGCAATGAGCTGCAAAAATTAGAAAACAAAGTAAAAAGAATATTCTTAATACTTCCGCTAAAAACTGGCTTTGATACTGTGGTTCCGGTGAAAATTTTTTTTAACATAAAAATAAAGTGCAATGAAAAGTGTAAATACAAAATAAACAAAATTATCACTAGAATATTTACAAATAAAACGCGTATTAAAACTCAAATCTAATTGGAAGTAACATGTTGATTAAAGTAAGGCAAGATTTAAACAATTGAATAAAAATACAATTGTGATATAAAACTTAAGCAAAAATGAAAAAAAAAAAAAAAAAAAAAAAAAGCGGTAAATGGTAAATTAGCCGAATTCGAATGTCATTATTGACTCTTCAGGGGAAACGCGATATGGAATTAGCTGAATTCGAAAATCATTATATATTTCCCCTGAAGAGTCAATAATGAGATTCAAATTGGGCTAATTTACCATTTACCGCTTTTTTTCTTTTTTTTGTATTTTTGCTCAAGTCTCATATCACAATTGTATTTTTATTCAATTGTTTAAAGCTTGCCTTACTTTAATCAACATGTTACTTCCAATTAGATTTGAGTTTTAATACGCTTTTTATTTGTAAATATTCTAGTGATAATTTTGTTTATTTTTTATTTACACTTTTCATTGCACTTTATTTTACTTATGTTAAAATTTTTTTTTCACCGGAACCACAGTATTAAAGCCTTTTTTTAGCGAAAGCATTAAGAATATTCTTTTTACCTTATATTGTCATGATCATATTTTGAACAAAAAATACATGAAAAATTTTGAAACTTAATATATCTCCTCCCCAACCCAGCTGCATTCTCAAGTTCAGAGCGACGACTTAAGAAGACAGCATTTATAAACTGGACGCCGATAAATAAAGATGAAGTTTTTATTTCAACAACTCGAAGGACTCCATTTTTTTCAGCGAAATGCGATTCTTCCAAGATTCCGATTCAAAGGAGGAAAAGAATCCTCCTTCAGATACTCCAAATCATTCACCTGAATATTTTTTTCAGGCAAAGTTCACTTTTCCTATAGTTGTGGTGACTCAAATATTCTTTCTGCCATCTTCACCAAAACTGATTATGAAGTTGTTGAATCAGAAGCTGTCGCGTGACTTTAAGCAAAGCTATTTCCCTGGATCTTTCTCAGCAAACGTCGTTATAGGAAGCACCCATTAAAAATGTTATTTTAGAGTAAGAGGTTCTATATTCTGAAGTCCTAAAGAAAGACATGTCAGTTGCCTGGAAATAAGACATGCTTCAATCTATATTACTGGAGTGGTAATTTCCTCAAAAGTTAAGATAGCTGACTTGCAAACTTTGAACAAATTTTGTTTCACAGTCTTGATTTCACAGTCCTCCGGAATATGTAGCTAAAGGTGAGATAAAATGCCATACAAAAAGACTCCTCGTAGAGACAGGGCTCACCAGCGGCCGAGCGGTAAAGTCGCTGAACACTGGTAGTTCAGTCCGAGGTTCGAATCTCGCGAACGGGGTGGCTGCATGGGCGTTTCGTGGTTTTCCCCATGTGTAACGTGTATACGAGCCAGTTTTCCTTAGAAAGTCCTCCACGAAGGCATCTCTCCCCTTAGGTAGATAGCCCTCGAGGCTTTGCACTAATTAAATAACCTAACCTAACCTTGCAGAGACATTAGGTAATTTTTTTGGGAGCAAGCAAGATGAAAAATTAGCAACGCCTTCGCCGGGAATCGAACCACGGACCTCTGGAATAACGACCCAGCGTGGAGAACCACTACACCACGAAAGCACGCTAGGAAGGCGGGAGAAATACCTTATGTCCTGATTCGCAAAATTTTGAATTTGAGCAGAATTGAGAAGCACGGATTGCTCTTTTAATTAGAGCCTGGCTCGAACCCAGGCGAACGGGATGGCAGCAGGGGCCGTTTCGTGGTTTTTCCCATGTGTAACGTGTATACGAGCCAGTTTTTCTTCGAAAGTCCTCCATGAAGACACTTCTTCCCTTAGACAGAAGCCCTAGTGTGCTTTTCATAACTAAAAACTAAACCTAACTAATAAACTAAACGGAAGTTGACTGCTCAATGATCTTTGTCAGGCTGTTTTTGGCAACTCTGGTTTTCGGAAACGTTGCTTGCAAATGTAAAAATTGATCATCTGAGTGCTATCACTGAACACACACTTTTTTTCTCTTCGCTCTTATTTTTTCTTCGTCACTTTTTCTCTCTTCTCCTTTCTGAATTATATTAACCAAGATGTTGATAGCACTGACAAATCTGAAAATAATGAAGTACGCAACTTAAAGCGCCTTCATTTCATAATACTTTAAAAATAGCATCAAAAGAGTTTGCAGAATGTAAATCATAAAATTAGATCATTATAATAAGACTTATACTATTGATTGTATTATTGGAGTCTGAATTGTAAATATAAAAAAATAATACCTTACCTCTTTTCCAAAATAAAAGTCTTAAAACTTAGGATTCTATTTTAAATTGCTTTATAAACTGTGGCCATCCTCAGCTTCAAAACAAAGAATAATTAAATTCAACATTCTATTCGTATCAACTTTGTGAATAAAGAGTTAAAAAATTAATTTGGAAATTTTTTACAATTCCAAGTAGCAATGAAAAATTTGGAAACTTTTTTACGACTCGAAGTAGTAACAATTTTTAGAAGTGAAAGATATCTAGAGAAAATTCGGATACCTGCATTATGTAAATGTGAACATTGGTCAACGGTACAAAATATAGTTTCTTAAAAGTTGCAAATAAAAGAAAAACTTATCATCAACATATTTACATTTTAAAAATGTTGAACTTGCTACATTTAACAATTACACAGTCTCATGTTAAAACAAAACGGCTGAAAATGATTATGTGTAGCCTGCTTTCGCAAGTGGAAGTAATATTAAATATATTATCCGATTTCAAACTCTACTAACTGATCTTCGTGTGTTGTTTACTGAGGGATCAAGTAACTTTACCAGTAATCATATATTTCCACTTTTTCTATCTGACGGCTGCCACGAAGTAACTGTATAAGAAGGTGAGAAAGCAGAAAGATAAAATTCAAATTGATATCTCTCAGATTTAATTCACGTTTCTTATATGCACTGCATATATTCTATTCCCAATATTTTTATTTATCATGCACATAAAAAGTTTCTTTCATAAGGTTTTGAGCCAATGTTTTAAAAATAATGAAAAGGACGTATAATACAACTGTATACAAAAACTACAGTATCAAGTCAAGAGAAAATAGAAATATCGAATTAAATTAAAAAAGGAAAGCAGAAACATTAGATGATGTTGAAAACTGCACAACAAATGAGACAGAATATCTTATTAAAATTCAGAAATATTATAATTAAGTTAAAGAATGTAAAATATTGTGACTTGCTATAAATATATTAACGAAGTGATAAAATACTGTAATTTATTAAAAGTGCAATTCTATGTTTAACATATGCTATGACAATCAGCAAAAATGCGTTATCAATAATAATAATAATAAATCACAGATGA